CTTAATTTACTTTATTTTTCACTGGAACAGTATCAGAAAAGTTTTTAAAAGTGTTTTATTTTAAAAGATATCTTTTTCATGGCTTAATTTACTTTATTTTTCACTGGAACAGTATCAGAAAAGTTTTTAAAAGTGTTTTATTTTAAAAGATATCTTTTTCATGGCTTAATTTACTTTATTTTTCACTGGAACAGTATCAGAAAAGTTTTTAAAAATGTTATTTTGTCTCACTATCTAGTGGGTTTTATTAAAAAACAACAACCCCTTTTTATACTTTCCAGGGAGGAAAGTGACTTTTTGGACTTTGTTCCACTGAAAAAATAGAGAAAAAAAGTTTTGTTTAATGTTTAGAAACGACCAGAAAGTGTTTCCCCCATAATGTCTCCCCCTCTTTTACCCCTTCCCAGCTTTTTCCAGTAAATAACAATGGTGAGAACTTCACCACAATCTCCAACCAAAATTTGTCCAAAATCATAAAAGAAATGATTTCCCCTCTCCCCCAAAAATGTTACATATTTTTTTTCCAACCAATTTTTTGTGGTCAGAAATGACTGTTGTTCCCTTTGAGACAAATCTTTTGGGGGTGAGCCCCCTGTTTTCTGGCAAAAATAGATCTGCTGAAAAAGCCTCAGGCAGGTCTGGTTGTCATCTCAGGGGCTTTGGGGGCAGCCCTGAATCTAAGCTGAGCTAGACACGCCTGGGTCACGGAGGGGAGTCCGCTGTGGGAAGCGCTTACGAGCAGAGCGCCAGAAGGAGCCCAGCTGGATTGGACCCTCGTCCCGTTGGCCTTAGGGTCGCACAGTGCGTGGATACGGGGCCTTCCGGGGTGATGGAGACGGAGAACTGAAGGAGCAGAGCGCTGGAATTTGTCCCACCTGTGAAGCTAAGCAGGGAGAGACTGGCCCAAGAGGCCGTGTGATCTCTGGGTCACTAGGCTCCTGTTCTACCTCTGATGTTCAGCAGGAACGGGTGGGGCCAGTGGCTGGAAGGGAACCCAGGAGGGAAAATCCCTGCTTTCTATTGAAATAGAGTAACCAGAGGAGTGGTATGGGAGGCTGCAGTGGTCTGGCCTTTAAAATCTAGCTAGTGTCAGACCCCAGCCATGGGCTGTTGCTCCATTGGGGTCAATGGGCCGGCTGCCTGAGGCTCTCAGGGTGCTTTGTGTCTCTCTGCAGACGCGCCCCAGCACGTCGCCGTGGTGCGGCAGCCGTCGGGGTCCATCAAGGAGGGCGAAGCCGTGACCCTGGAGTGCTCCGTGGGCAGCGCCAACCCCTCTGCCCTGCACTACACCTGGTACAAGGACGAGGCGCGGCAGGGTGAGAACTCCAACAGGCTGAAGCTGGCGGCCGTGGTGTCGGCTGATTCGGGCCAGTACCGGTGTGAGGCTAAGAATGACGTGGGCACCACCCATGCCGAGCCCATCCCGCTGGACGTCTGGTGTAAGTAACCAACCCCCAGAGCTGGGGAGAGAACCCAGGAGTCCTGACTCACAGACCCTCACACACACACTCTAACCACTAGACTCCACTCCCCTCCCAGAACTGAGGAGAGAACCCAGGAGTCCTGACTCACAGACCCGCACACACACACTCTAACCACTAGACTCCACTCCCCTCCCAGAACTGAGGAGAGAACCCAGGAGTCCTGGCTCCCAGCCCCCCACTCTAATCACTGGCACTGGCTCTCTCCCCAGATGCCCCCCGGGATGTACAGCTGTCCATGGCCCCACAGGGGCAGATTGTGGAGGGGATGGAGGTGACGCTGCGGTGCTGGGCCGATGCCCTCCCGCCCGTGCTGGGCTACGACTGGTACCGGGACGGCCAACTCCAGGAGCGGCAGACCCAGGACACGTTGAGCATCTTGGCTGTGAAGGTCGGGGCGTCCGGGCACTACCACTGTCGGGCCAGAAACCAGATCTCCTACGGGGACTCCTCGCCCATCCGCCTCACCGTCTACTGTAAGGGGCCTGTGTGCTGGTGCCCCTCAACCCCGACCCGCAGCCCCGGCTAGCCCAGCACTGGGATCACCCTACCCCCAGCTCTGCTGGTGCCCCTCAATCCCGAACTGCTCTAACCACTGGCCCCCACTCCTGTGCCCCCCATTCCTTGCTCTCTGTTGTTTTGCAGTCAGCTCCATGACTATAGCCAAGAACTCGGCTCTAGGGGTCGGCGTGGTGATAGTGTTTATCCCCCTGCTGGTGGCGCTGGTCTTTGCCCTTAGGCGATGGTAAGCAGAAACCTTTCCTCACCCCCAACCCAGGCATCCCCAATCCCCAGGGATCAGTACCCACGGAGCCGGGCAGCCTGACCTCTGCAACGGGCTCGTGCAGCCGCTCCTCCCCCACCCTAACCACTAGACCCCACTCCCCTCCCAGAGCCAGAGGTAGAACCCAGGAGTCCTGGCTCTTGACCCTGCTCCTCATTGTCATTGCAGGAGGAAGCGGCGTCTTCCCGAGCTGGTTGTGGAGCCTCTGGGCAGGCGAAGGAGATCGTTCTTTGTGAGAGATTTTTCATAGGGGGCGCTGTGCTGCAGGGGGCAGGGTGGGGACTCTCCCCTGGCAGGCAGGGCTGGTTCCGATGCCCCAGGGTGGCGCTAGGGGGCGCTGTGCTGCAGGGGGCGGGATGGGGGACTCTCCCCTGGCAGGCAGGGCTGGCTCTGATGCCCCAGGGTGGCGCTAGGGGGCGCTGTGCTGCAGGGCATTGCCCTATAGCAGATCAGAGTTGAATTTCTAGTCCTGAGCCCTTGGGGTCATTAAAGATTCCCGAGCCCATTCCCTAAACTTCAGGACATCAAACCCAGCGTGTGGGCGAAACCCCAGAGTGGGAGATTCTGTTCTCCCTCCACCAAGCCCTCTCAGACATTACAAGAAGAAAGAGGATTTTTCTTCACTTCCTGTCCTAAACTTGTGGCATCACTGAGCGGCTGTTCCTTAGCTGCCCCTCCCTAGAGGTGGCTGTATCTCAGTGCTGGGTGAGCCATCCCCATGCGGCGTTATGTGCAGCTGTTCCCCAGATGCCCTACCCCAGAGGTGGCTGCATCTCAGTGCTGGGCGAGCCATCCCCATGCGGCGTTATGTGCAGCTGTTCCCCAGATGCCCTACCCCAGAGGTGGCTGCATCTCAGTGCTGGGCGAGCCATCCCCATGCGGTGTTATGTGCAGCTGTTCCCCAGATGCCCTACCCCAGAGGTGGCTGTATCTCAGTGCTGGGCGAGCCGTCCCCATGCGGCGTTATGTGCAGCTGTTCCCCAGATGCCCTACCCCAGAGGTGGCTGCATCTCAGTGCTGGGCGAGCCATCCCCATGCGGTGTTATGTGCAGCTGTTCCCCAGATGCCCTACCCCAGAGGTGGCTGTATCTCAGTGCTGGGCGA